GCTGCTTTGCAGTACAACTTTTATTATAGAAATTAAGTGTCCATGCACCTGTGTTTATTTCTGGGATATTAAGTTCCGCTGGTCTATTTTTCTGTACTTGCACCAATACCACAGTATCTTATAAGTCTTGATATTTAGTAGAGTAAATCCTTCAACCAGGGTTTTCTTCTTCAAAAGTGTGTTTTTCTGTTCTTGGTTCTTTGCATTTTCATATAAATAGTGGAATTTGTCATTTTCCATACTAATTTACCTGATAAAATGTTGATCATAATTGCACTGATTCTATATATCAGTTTGAGGGGAATTGAAATCTGTTACAGCATTGAGTCTTCCAGTCTGTAAATTACTTCATTTATTTAGCTCTAGTGTGTGTGACCTTGGCCAACTGCTATAATTTCAACAAGCCATGTGGGCTTATTTTCCCCTTTTTTTTTTTTATTATTTTTATTTTCCCCTTTTCTTTACGACTGAGCTAACCATTGTAACTCACCTTCACAGAAGTACAAAAAGTAAAGATTATCAGAAAGGTGTGCATTTCCTCTTAACATGTTTTGTGGAATTGTCTTTCTTTAGTTGTTTAGAATTAAGAATGGTTAAAGAAATATTACTATGAAATTCTTATTTGTATTTTATTCTATTTTATGATTTTTGAAACATTTTTTTTTTAAATAAGCCCCTACATTTATTTTATGCTCTTATTCAATTCCATCTTTCATTGTTCCACACTGTATGACTCTACTTGCTCTTCTTGAGTATTGAAGAGATTTTCTGGCATTCTGCTACTGCTTTTCTAGTGATTTTTGTTTTTTAAATGGTTAAGTGTACTCTGTAACAGCATTTAAACTTAACAAAACTACACCACTGTGTTTAATCCCCAAATTTCTTCTCCTCACACTCCAACACATACATTGGATTACAATAGCACCATTCTCTTTACTATAAGTTAACCATTTACCCAGCGTTTTTTCCCAAGGGACTTTGCTTCCTTATGTTGCAACAAAACTCACAAATAATAAACACAAACAATACAGATGATTCTCAACACAAAATGCCATGGCCGACCAAATGGAAACCATCCAAATGAAAACCAGATTCTGAAATGAGAATCAACATCTTCTAATCCAAAGGGGACAAATGAGAACCAAATTCTCTCAAACGAGAACCAACATCTCTTGGTTTCCTGGGAACCACAAATGAGCTCCAAATCCAAACCAGGTTTCCTAGTTCCACTCAACCTCTTGCCTTCCATCCCCAAATTGGTGCCTCAAAACAAATCCAAAAGGAAGGTATGAAAACCTGCATACGGGTGGAAACAGGGTCTTGGTGTCCTGGGGAACTTTACTTGCAAATGGTTGTGTTGTTACGATGCTTCCCAAATCTATTTCCTTCTCCTCAACTCAGTTTAGGTTGTAGGGAGCTGGTCTAATTCTGGGGAGAAAGAAATGGGAATTCCCTGGAGCTAAAACATGATCTGGCAGCTACTAGGACCTTCTTGTGCTCTCTCACCTCAAAAAGAAGCTGTTCCTTCCATTGAAGACCCACGGCTTGTCCCAGGGCTGCTCCCTGCTTCCTCTAGCAGTTTCAGGGTTCCATTCCACCAGAGAGCCAATGAGCCCACCCAGGGACTCCAGATTCTGTTACAGAAAGTTCTGCACTTGTCCCTGAGGC